ATTTTTTTATTTTACATTTAATCTGATGTTTATATTTTAAAAACCGCTAGCTTAGCAGCATTGTATGCAAATGTAGTTAAGGAATGGGGTGACATGGAGACTGTATGTTAACCATTTACACTGTGACAATACAACGGAGTTACCAGTGACCTGCCGGCCGTCGGCCGTCGCCCACCCGCGCAGGCGCCGCCGGCCATCGCGCAGCGGCTGCCTCGCCACCGCCAAACTTACGTAAATTATTAACTCACTTTAATAAGTAACTTAATAATTTACGTATATATGTAGCGTTAGTTATTGCAAAAAAGTATCAAAAAGATTTGGTAGAATTAATACATTTAAACTAGGCCACCTGATGGTTATCTAGTTCTATATAATTATTCTCTATATCTTATCTATTTAATTGTTAATTTACAATTAAACAAATAAATAGTCTTGAAAGTATAAGTCTTGAAAACTGATTGTGTAAAAGTCTTGAGAATCATATAAAAACTAAAAGTTATAGCTAATGTTAACCCTGTGCAGATGCGGTGATCATTATAGACATTATAGTTTATATCCTGCCTACCTACTTATGTAATCTAAATATTATACCTACAGGAACATACCTCGAACATAGGTATGACAACAATGGGGCTGAATTTATTTATTTCCTTTATGTAGGCACCCTATACCTATCTGATATCAGACTAGAACTACACCAAAAATATGTAGCTAAGTAGGTACATCGTTGTGTAAGTTAGATAGGTATGTGAAATTTGCAGTTCACCTCTCAGTATGCATACCACGCGTCTGCTACCTTAGAAAGAGTCCACAACAACAAATGCGTTAGGTAGCCGTGCCAGTGAAACGCGACCATTATTCGAAACGATCAATTAACTACTTCTATAGATATAGAAAAGGTACAAGGGACGCTAATGTTAACTTAGTTGTGCAACATTTCCAAATATAAATTTAATTTATGATTGTTACATTATTACATGCCTAGCTTATGTAATAAATTAGTGCGGATGTGGCAGTCTAATAACATTTTATGTTATGCCATTGTCACCTTGCCTAAAACTCAAAATACTTCAGTTTAGGATGACTTCAGTCAGTGTTTTAGAATGTAATTTACACTTCGTGCCGTTAATTTAAATCACATTATCCGGGTAGGTACATACATACTTGTTCTATCTTAACTCTGAGTGCATGGGAAAAGGATATTTTCGTGATAGTTATTTTTGGTATTTCCCTCTCAAATAATTTAGTAACTATTTATTTGAATATACTGTACCTACTAATTACTGCTTAGTAAGCCAGCCGCTAGCCGGGTCGACAGCGACAGGTAGGCAATAAGATGATGCGTTACATATCCCGGGTTCAATTCCCGTTCCGCACGAAAAAACTGTGAGATCCACAAACAATCGACTCTGCTCATTATGTGTAGGCATAGTGAGATGCTTTATATAGTAGATGGTACTCCGTTTAACATGTTCGCCGCTACTGAACTGCAAAGTGAGGTGCGGAGCGACGTGAACTGGGAAGTCGTCTCGCCCATCTGCGTAGCAGTCATACTACCTAAAGAAGTAGAGGAGCGCGTAAGGAAACGATCCTCCTCCCGCCTCAGCCGCCGCCGCAGGAGACACTTCGGGCGACGGGGAGCGCGCGACGATGTCTGGCATGCCGTGTCGGACAATGATGATTAGCCTTTAATAGTTTTTGTGGGTAGGTTTAAGTACGGGTCAGCAGAAGGCGAGAAAAGGTCTGCCACCGCCGGTCCAAGACCAGATTCCACAAATAACATCACGCGTTATATCCCCGAAGGGGTAGGCAGAGGTACACATTACGGCACAATGTAACACCCACTTTCACTATTTATGTTATGAGTCCCATGATGTAATAGATAGGAGGTGAGCCTATTGCCATATACTGGGCACAATTCCAGACTCCCTTCTACTATTGAGATTTTTTTTAAAAACCCAGTTATATTTTGCCCGACCAAACCAACCAGCCAAACCAGCCCGGTCGAGATTTTATTAGTACTCTGGACAGTACGGCCCCTATTACAGGTCAAGGCCAGACCCACTCGCATCCAATCAATCAATACGCAACTACGCAGTAAGGAACCTTATTCTAGATTTCATTACTTTTTGAGATGAACAAGCGGCTTCATTGAGACTTGGCTAATTTTTCACAGAATGTTTTTGGTTGGATTTCACTTCGTTTTATTATTTTATTTATATGCGAAAGGAGGTATTCGCCCAGCAAGTGTGCTAAAGGCCCGATTAAATTCGAAGACGTCTCCTGCACTGGATTTTTGCAATGACAGTCGATTTTTATGTACCAATTTTTGATATCAAATGAAGTGGCCCACCAAGTTGAATATTTTTTGTCAATGCAGTACATGTCAATCTCCAATAATTTGGTTGGGCTCTTGTGGTTTCTAACCAGCGTCACCAGGTACTCCAGATCTTCGATTATCCTTGTTTTTCCCTTATTGTGACTATTAAACCCTTACTTTGTACCAAATTTCAGCTCTCAGTTTATGGAAAATGCCAGTTTTATTTCGATCATCATGGATTTTCGCAAACTTTGGAACTTAATGACCTGCCTATAAAGGTAGATTTTAAATTTTGGATGTATTACAGCTTACTGGGTAGTGAAATGCGTTTTGGTCTTATCCAAGGTTCTCTAATAGGGGCCTGAAAATCCAGTGAAATTGTTCCAATAAAGGATCATATGGAAGTGTTTGCTATTATCTAATTTAGACTATCAAACACCGAGCGGTCACCGGTGACCGCAACCTAATTGTTCTTTAATTGTGTATAATGACGGTACTCAACGAGTTAATTGAAACAAATTGTATCAGTAATAATGCTGATTGATATGTAACATATGTGATAATAAATCAAAAACAATGTATGTAACATTTTGTTTATTTGCTATGTGTTTCATAAAAGTATCTAATGGATCATCTTGAATGTTACTATCTGAATTTTTTCTCCCATATTCTTGGACAAGTTTCATATGTTCTTCAAGATTATCTATCTCATTTGTTTCAGAGTCAAAGTATCTGTCTTCAGCATCTTGCGAAACTTGCTGGAGATCATCATACTGCTCGTTATTATCAATACTTTGATAATCAATATCCTCATCTCTTCCTTCTATGAAACTAGAGAACATTTCTTGTAAAAATTCTTCCCTTAAAAGTCTTCTTTCTGGGGCAGTAATCATACTTTGCTTTCTAGGTTCAGGCATATAACTTGGTCTTGTATCTGGAGTATCAAAGGCACCCCATTGCTTTGTATTCTTTTCTCTTTCACTGTTATTACTTTTATTTTCAGTGTTTGTTATTTTCATAGACTCCATGTCTTCCTCAAGCATCTGTTCATTCTTCATTTCTCTCATTTCATTACGATCAACTGTTTCCAAAATCATACTTAAAAATGTAAGGTTCTCATTGTCCGCACCATCACGTTCCCTGATCTCTTCATCAGTCAAATACTGACCAACAAGTTGTTCATAAAGTAATGGATTTCTGTACATCATTTGTTTTTCACTAAAATAATCTGTTTCGCTTTGAAGTTTCTGTAACGCGATATATCGTCTGTTGCGAACTCTTTTATATTTGCTTTTTTCAGAATGGTAAGTTTTTAATTGTCTAATACATTCGCGGTAGTTGTCATCAGCACAAGATTGCATCTTTTCAAAATAACCAATATGATGTGGGGCAAGATATTTCCCGAATTGCAACAGAAAATCAGTCGGCGATCGTTTGTAAATTTCGCAAGCCATTTTTATTTTTTCACTAGTGCGTACTTCAGATTCATTTACATGTGCATTTTTGAAAGAAATTTTAGCACATCTTACTAAATAATCTATAATATCATTAATTGGATCGACATCAACTTCCGCAATTTCTTCTACATCATATTCTGCTGTTTTGCTTTTATCATTTGACATTGACTCCATTTTAGTCTAAAATATTAATATATAGTCAGAATTTTAATTAGATTCCAGATTTGACAATAGCTACTGTCATTTTGTGAAATAATGATACCACATAATAATAGTATAGTGATGAACACAAAAATCGATAAACAATCAGTGTGTGTGTTTTATAATAAATGTTACAGAAAGTGACAGGATAGCGATAGCGATGACGGCGACAATTTATAAATTAGATTATTACCATAATACATCTATCCGTTTTATTTGTCATGTTCCTTCATGATTACATTTTTTTATTTATTTCACACACAATTATAAAAGAAAAGTCTCAGATCGTTAATTAATCGTCAAAACTAAATTATCGGTTCAGAAATATTTAGTTTCATGATATACTTAGTTTACGAGAGTAAAATTATAAACGAGAAGCATCGATCCAGAAATATTGCATTTCCATATCGAATAATTTCGCAACATCACTATTTAGTACTTGTCATAACGTTGCAACACTGAAATTGTCAAATCTGGAATCGAATTAAAATTCCGAGTATAGTTGCTTTTATGGATTATGTTAGTTCCGGTTCGTTTCTGACTTACAAGATTATAAAAGTTCTTTCGTAGCAAACATCAGCAGTCTAAATGCAGTATAGGATTATTTTAGTTTTGGTTTTGCTTTTTATTTTATTTTATAAATTTCTGCAATGACGCAACGAGCTACGGCGTCAATGTCAAATAAATGTCAATGTCGATCGAGTCGGACGGAGTCCAGTCCACAGATAATAAATTTAAAAAACAAATAACAATATTACGTAATTTATGTATTGTAAATCCTTTCCAACTAATTTACAAATCAATTTCAGATAGTTTAATCTAAACAATATTCGCGGGAGTAAAATAATAAGTAGACGACAGTTGTAGTTTTCAATGTGATTTTTTAGATGATGCTTGCTGTTGGATATGCTGGATGATGAATGGCCAACTTTGTTGAAGAACTATTTTGGTAGGCAATTAGTCAATGTTGTCTACTCTAGTGATTTGACAGATTTATTCGTTTTGTTTTGCTTTTGCTTACTGACAGTTGACACTTGACAGTAGATTATTCACCATCACCATCGCTGTGAATTGTGATTATGACTTGTAAATAAATAGATGTCCATATAAAACCAGTTATAGTGTATAATCTATGATATAAAACGTCCCGACTTTGAATAAGGTCCCGGACGGTAATAAAATTCAGGATTTAATTTTAATCTGTTCCATTATTGTACATAAATCAAATAATAACAACGAAATGTTATCAAATCGTATGAAACAAAAACTACATCAGAAACAGTGGTGATAAAAGTTTTTATCAAGATAATTCAAAATGCAGTGGCGATGGGAATTTATGTGCGGTCCTCAGGGACTAAGACCATGGAACGATATAACAAAAGACTTTGGCCAGTGCTTCCAGGAATTATTTATTCAAATACCAGTCTTCTTTATTATTGCCATCATATCAGGTTTTTATGTTGGATATAGAAAAAATTGGGTGGTACGCGAAAAGGCTCAGGAAAGGGCAATAGTACTTCGAAGTTTTGTCGTATTAGCGCTAGTGTTTATCCCCATCATAGAGTTATATGTTCTGATTACCAAACCTAACTCTGTTTTGTATCCTGTAAACTACTTTACTGCTGGTGCATCATGCCTCGCGTGGCTGTTTCACTTCGGTTATGTGTTGGCGTTGAAACACAGACTGGGACAAAGTGCTCGAGGACCCACTTCTCAGCTCTTAATGTGGAGCTTAGCAGTATTTGTGAATGTGGTCGCATTGCGGAGTAGCATAATAACTGGGGGCTCTATGAGTTTCAATATTGCTACAATGTGCTGTCATATACTGTATTTCATGACACTTCTCCCATCAAGTAACTCTAGGCCTACATTCTATTCACCATGCCTGGTTGGTTCACAACATACACATGTAAGTTGATAATTACCATAATTATTTACTGACGTTTATTTATTTGTTACACACAATTACTAGACTGTTACAGAAGTTTTCAAAGTGATTAGGTAACAAAACAAAAATGTTGACTTTGTACAAATAGGTATATCAAGAGGACACTTGATGATTATTGAATTTTCTTCTTAGTGATTCAGATTCAAATATAATAATGTTGATGGTGATAATTTTGTCAACAGAGTGAGTATACTCCCCTACTGCCACATATGGATGAAGGTATACTGGGAACAGCTATGCAAGGAGCTGGTTGTCTATCAAGGCTAACATTCTCATGGGTGGACCCGCTACTACAAAAAGGTTGGTTATTAATCTACAAATAAAGAAAAACTACAATATTCTTTTGTTGTAAGTAATACTGTTATGACTCACCTTTTGTTCTAGCTTAGAAGGTTTTTTTTCTGATAACATATAATATTACTCCAATACTTTAAATGTGTCGCGGAGAACCTAACGGGTTACCGGGGCTCCAGCTCGACGTGCAGGAGAAGGAACGGGTGGTGTTTAGTCAGTTAGAGTCTGACACTCCCTCCTGCCTCACCCAGGCGGGAGCAGTCATTCGATGATATTACACCCTTGAAAAAAAAAATACTTTGAATGTCAGTTACAACAGCTATGATTTAAACTTTTGCTATAGAATAATTATATTATATTAAAATATTTGAGTTTTTTATTCCCTTTTTAGTGAAAATAGTCAACATTGTTTGCTTTCTTTTTTGTAGGATTAGAAAATAAACTAAATGATCCCGAGGAGCTGTTTGATTTACCAGCTAAGTATTGTTGTTCTTATGTGGGAGCAAGGATGGATAGATCACTTATTGGCAATGTGGACAACTACCAACAGTATGAGGAAGTACCACACGAACCTTTCATAGGATCAGGTAAATATGGATTCAATGAAATTGTAAATAACTTGTTCAAGTCTGTAAATAATCTATGAATGTTATCTCATTATTCATTCATAGATATCTTTCACTTTGATAATGTACATTGTAATTTATATTTAAGTTGATAAGTTTATAATAATAATTACAATAATAATAATTTTCAACATTATCAATGGAAAGTTAGTTTATCTTATTGAAAAGAGGTAAATTTATAGGTGTCTTTATAAAACTAAGTTTCTAGATATTGCCACAGGTGGCGTTTTGGTTCTCTTTGTCATTCCTTTTCGTTCCTCCATTTTGATTTGTATTAGCTGTTGTTTTTCTGTTTTTAATAAATGTGTTGAAAGAAATCTTATTCAAATTATTTGAAACCACTCAATACCTGAATATATCTTATAAACTAATTATTAATTTAAAGGATATGGTGCAACTGGAGAAACCGCGCCACAAGCGTCCACGCCTGTGACGCCTACAACACGTGTTCTAGTCCGTTCCCCGCGCCGTCAAAATGTTACACTACTGCGGGCTTTGCATTCATGTTTTGGCGTACAGTTCTACAGTATTGGTGTACTCAAATTAGTTGCCGACATGGCAGGATTTGCTGGACCCATCCTTCTCAATTACCTTATAAAATTCGTTGAAGATGAAAGTATTGATCAACATTTAGGGTAATTATTGTTCTAGTATTATTTAATACTATTACTATTACACTGTACAGAATTTACATGTATTGTTTATTAATTACAGTTATGTGTATGCTGGATCTTTACTAGGGGCTACTTTAATATCTGCCCTGTTTAATGTGCACTTCAACTGGTTTATGTCGGTTGTGGGTCTAAAGATGCGCGGCGCTATCGTTGCGACTATCCTAAGGAAGACGCTAAGTGTCACTTCCACAGAACTAAATAATGTCTTCTCTATTGGCGAGATCACTAACTTCATGTCGACTGATACGGACAGAATAGTAAATTCGTGTCCTAGTTTTCATGCACTGTGGAGTATACCTTTACAGGTAAGAAACACAAATAGCATACTTTAAACTGGTAGGTAAATATAAAACTATTGTGTATTGACATTTACCTGTTGTAATTGCAGCTCTTCATAACATTATTCCTTCTATACCAGCAAGTAGGCATATCGTTCCTCGCTGGTGTGGCATTCTCAATTATTCTGATACCAATTAACAAAATAATCGCCAATAAAATTGGACAACTCAGCACGGAAATGATGAAGCACAAGGATTCCCGTGTCAGTTTAATCAGCGACTTGCTGAAAGGTATAAGAACAGTCAAGGTTCATGTTTGGGAAGATTACTTCATAAATCGAGTATCAGGTTAGTAATGTTAATAGAAACTGATAGCAACTAGTCAACTTCTAACTTACCTCGAACATATAGGAGAAGCTTTAAAAAGCTGAATTTGTATGTACGTAAATGTATTAATGTTATTCAATATGTAATTTTAGAAGCGCGAAGTCAAGAATTGCGGTATCTGCGCGGTCGCAAGTATTTGGACGCGATATGTGTGGTCCTATGGGCGACTACGCCAGTTCTCGTTGCCGCCTTCACATTAGGCACGCACTCGCTTAGAGGGCTACCTCTTGACGCACCCACAGTAAGTATTTACCCTACTTTTCTTCATTTTTCGAATAAAATTTGATTTTTACTTTATAAAATGATTTTCAACAATATATATTTTTTCTTTTTAGGTTTTTACTACAGTAGCGCTAATCAATATGTTAATAGCACCACTGAATGCCTTCCCATGGGTGTTAAACGGACTGACAGAAGCCTGGGTGTCCATAAAACGTATACAAAAGTTGTTGGATGTACGTAACTTTCAATAATTTCGTACATACTATGTACTTCTTGTGCCAACTTTATATAAACATTCACATTTAGCTTCCAGATATGGATGCAGAACTTTATTATGACCGTCTCAACAAGAACCATGATGAAGATAAAGTAATAATATTCAAGAATGCCACATTTTCGTGGGCTAAGCCTTCAAAGAGGAAGAGGCCACCAAAGAAATCGAAGAAAAATAAGGGGAAGTCTAAAAAGAGACTATCTAGGGGTAACATTCAAAGGCGGGATTCAACATCTTCGTCTGAGCAGTTAATCCAAGATGAGCCTTTTATGTTGAAAGATATCTCATTAGAAATTGGTAACGAAGAGTTAATTGGAGTAACTGGAGCCGTCGGAAGTGGAAAAACATCACTACTGCATGCAATCATTGGTGATATGATCAAGAAAAGTGGCTACTTACAAATACCTGAAAATCTTACTAGTAAGCACTGAAATTCACTTCACTAGGTCCACTAGGTACCACTAGGTAGGACCAGTCGAGAGTTTGTTGCAAACAATAGTTTAAAATGTCATTTTGTTTTTAGGTTTTGGATATGTGTCTCAGAAACCCTGGCTAATACGTGGTACAATCCGCGATAATATACTATTCGGCAAACCGTATGACGAAACTAAGTTCCGGAATGTAATTGATGCCTGTGCACTCACAGGTAATTGAAAAATTATATTGTAACTTATTTCGCCAACACACTATTCCATACAAGCTATTAAACGTGATTTTTTTTCTTATAATTATGAATTATAGAGGACTTAAATATTATCGGATGGAATGCTTACGTGGGCGAAGGTGGTTGTACGTTAAGCGGTGGACAGCGAGCGCGCATTGCACTGGCGCGGGCAGTATACCAAGATAAGCAAGGTATATATTGCAATAATTTATTTTAAGGTTTTCTCCAATATGCGGATAGTGAAATGTAGTTTAGTATTATCTTTTCACTTTTTTACACATATTTTAATGCTCGATTTTAGTGAAGATGCACACATTGCACACATTACAATAACTTCTTCTATTTGATTATAATTAAATTACTATTTACCTTCTCAAGAATTAGTATTTTACCAATCAATCGGCACAACTCTAAAGTACCTAGATGTGTGATTTTTTTTCTAGTCCCAGAATATAGAAAATAAACGTGTCTGACCGGGCCTTGGTATATAAGATACATTATGTTTGCAGTGTACCTGCTGGACGACGTGCTCGCCGGCGTGGACGGGGCGGTGTCGGCGCATATAATGCAGCGCTGCATACTGGGGCTGCTGCGACATACCACGCGCATATTCGTGGCGCACTCTCCGAGGCATCTCGCCCGCACCTCATATACTCTGCTCATGGAGGATGGGCGTATATTGCGACAAGGTAACTTGTGTAGGCAGTAAATTGATTACATAATAGCAATTTTTCATGGCAATATTTTAAACTGTCAAACACCAAGCGGACACCGGTGACCGCAACCTATTGTTCTATAATTGTGTCTATAATGACGGTACTCAACGAGTTAATGTGACTCATAAATAAGATGAAAAGTGTTTAAATCTAAAGCCTATACAATGATTTATCTTTTTATTCCGATGAATGTGTAATACTTTATAGTAAATCAATCTATCTGTAGGTCCCCCTGAAACTGTATTAAATGATATCGAAGAGTTCATGCCGAGTGAGTCCGAGTCGCTAGGAGAAGAGCCGCCGAGGGTACTGGAACCCGTACAAGATAACAACGATACAATCAGTAGGAACAGCTTGGATGACGAGGTTTGCTCACTCACATTATCGTATATAGTATTACTATATCTAACCCAGAATATAAATAAGACACTTAGATTGTTTTAATGTTTACAGGAGTCAATGTCACAGGGAACTGTTGGTTGGTGGGTCATCGGCTTGTACCTACGGTCGGTCGGAGTGTTTCTCTCAATCACCATCATACTTTCCTTAGTTCTCATGCAACTATCACAAAATTTCACCTTCCTTTGGCTCACGTACTGGGTTAAAAATAGGACTAAAAATTCAACCTCACTTGAAGATACTGAATTTATAGAACATCCCACAGAAAAGACAAACATTTTGGATCACGGAGTCTTAGCTATAGACAGCGTTATACATACCATCATAAATGCGACAAGAATGCTTCTAGAAAATAAAAATGTTGAAAATACAACTTCCCAACAAGGGTCACAGATTGAACAACTACTACAAGACCTGAAAGCGAATGTGACGCCGACATACACAGATAATTTTTATTTGGAAGTTTATTTTGGATTGGCGGGTCTGAATTTAGCGTTTACTATCATGCGAGCGTTTCTGTTCGCTTATGGCGGCGTGAAAGCGGCCACAAGAATTCACAAGGTTTTACTTAAAGTCATTATCAAAGTGAGCATAAAATTTTGTACTTTAATATTGTTTAATTTGACTTTTTCAGAATCAAATACTTCTTGATGGACATTTTTGTTTCAGGCGAAAGTGAAGTTTTTCGATATAACACCACTGGGTCGTATTGTGAACAGATTTTCATCAGATACTTACACAGTGGATGACTCATTGCCGTTTATACTAAACATTTTGCTAGCTCAAACGTTTTCACTAATTGGTGAGTATCATAAGTTTGGTATTATGTAATTAATAATAGATAATTTTAATTTCAAGAGACAATGTCTCAGTACTGCTACTGGCTACTCGAGTGTGGCCCCAGCGCGCCCTCTGGCGGGAGTCGCGCGCCTCTGTGTGGCACCGGCCACGCGGCGCGCGGCACTGCTGGCACACTACACTCGCCCGCCGGTAGCTGCGTTGGTGTTGGGTTCGAATCCCGAGTCGACGCAAAAACAGTATTACATACCGTGTTTTCGTCTAGTCTAGTTCGTCGTCAAATGATTACGTGAGTAAGCCGAAAATATAATCTGGGGGCACGCAGTGCTCCCACCAAGTCGAGCAAAAAAGCGTCACGGCCGTACCATCCTTTTCTCGAAGCAATTCAGGCCCGACCCTGTAAGTTCGTTATGGATAAAACTAGAAGACTGAAATTTTCAGTAACCATCCAGGCATTGAAAGACACGGTATATTTCAAATTTCATTCAATTTGAACCAGTATTTTAAGAATGATAACGGGTCAGATTTCTTAATTTTGTCACTCACTGACTGACTCACCGATCATCAAAATTCTAAGGCACTTCTAGCAAACCTTGAAGCTTCAAATTTGGAATACAAGTACTGTTTGGTGTATGAATCATGGAAAAACTAATCTAGAAAAGACCGGTATAGAGGGCGCTGTCGCAACGCTACTTATATACGAAATGTGTACTAAAGTAATAACAATGCATAATATAAATAAATCCAATCCGGACCGGCAAAAACAATTAAGCCCATACAGCCAAGTCTTCAGTTAAATTCGTCGAAAATTCGTTGCTGGTAGATATAAATATACATAAGTAGAAAGTACCGAAGAGGAAAAAAGTAGAACTGTCTACAAAATACAAAAAGAAATGAGATCCCCTCAAAAACAATACTTGTCAAAAAACCAAGTTCTTGCAACTCAGTTGTTCTACGGTAAAAAGTTGTGAGATCCATGTAATACCAATACCAAGTTGGTTATTAATTTATCGCCTGAAAACACGAGTAAATTCAATTATTTAGTGCGATGGCCAAGTCTCAAAATATTTATATAAAACAATAAAGGATTTTAATATTGATATGCGTCACTATAAGATGCTGTTAATTATTACGTAACAATTTAATGCTTCGAGTACGGAGATTCCAAACATAATTGATTTTCAATTGTTATGGACCACGATCGTGGTCTTAGAGACTGGACGTATTAAGACAGAAAGTCGCTTAAGTAGAAACTGAATAAATTAATTATTGACTAGGTACCTATTACATGGATCTCATAACTTTTTACCGCAGAACAACTGAGTTGCGAGACTTAGTTTTTTGACAAATATTGTTTTTGATGGGATAATTTATTTAGTATGTCTCACGAAAGTTATAATAAAATGGGATATTATATTATTGTTAATGTTCGCAAAAAGTTAATACTAGTTTCTGCCACCGGCTTCCTGTGGGATTAAATGTAGCTCATGAGTTATTCCACACCATAATCTAACAGTAACACTGTTCCAAACATGTCGATCCCTTCAGCCTTTTTGACATGAAGAAGTTTCAACAAACAAATTAACGTACATACAAACTGTCACATTTATAACATAAGTAGGATTTTTACAAAGTAGCACTTGTACATGTTAACGAATTAAATTAGAGGCCGCATGTTTATGTAGAAGCATTATGATATTACTACAGGAGCGGTGGCGGTGACGCTGTACGGGCTGCCGTGGCTGGTGGCGGGCGTGGTCCCGCTGACGTTCGTGTACTACCGCCTGCAGCGCCGGTACCGCGTCACCTCGCGCCAACTCAAGCGCTTGCAGAGCGTCACGCTCTCGCCCGTCTACACGCACTTCAGTGACACACTAGATGGTCAGTATCTCTACAATATTTAAAACATTTCCGTGTTATTTTGGCAAATGACTATGGCTGTAATGCAACATGAGAATTGGATTAATTATTGCCTGCCGGTTATGAATTCTTACACATTGGTGTCTGGAATGTCAACCAAATGTGTGTGGTGTGCAGGCCAGCAGACGGTGCGCGCGCTGGGCGCGGGCGGGCCGTGGGGCGCGCGCGGCGCCGAGCTGCTGGAGGCGTGGCAGCGCGCGGCGCTGGGCGCGGCCGCC